GAAACAACGGAACCGCAAGGTCATCACTTGGCATTGCTAGTCAGTGGAAATTCCTTTAAAAAAGAACAGAAAGCCACATTTTATAGGGGTACCTATACAAAGTATACATATATTTACAAAAATGTTCGATCTGGTTATATTGCACTCGCGGTTGCCAAGTCGCGATCAAATTTTAATCAACTTTTTTTCGGCTAGAGATCTACATATGAATGTATATATCGATATTAATTGACTTGTTCTGGTTTAACTTGTTTTCGTTTTCAGTTAAGAGAATTTGCCAGTGTCTTTTTTTTCAATTTCTCCCGATTTATTTCATTATGAATGCATAACGGTAAATGTTAAATACAATATGCAAATTCTCGAATTTAAACGAACCAGTTTACAGAGTGCAGAAAAAAAACAACGAATATATTTAGGCATTTAGCGGATTAAATATATATTTACAAATACTCAAATAGAGCAAAGCAAACACTCGAGTAGATCAAATGGATAGCTAAGACTTGAACAAATAAGGTTGGTCGAGTGATTTTTTCTAGCTCATCGTTTGTTGAACTCTGAAAATGTTTGTGGCTCGTGTTAGAGCTCGAACTTTTGAACCCACAACAAGGCAATAAAATAAGATATTAAGCAGAGACAGCTTTTTTAGATTGATAAAGCCGCTCCCAGAAAGCCAGTCGCCTGTACATTTAGCACCTACTAAACTGTGGATATTTTGTCATTTGTTTTACGAACATTTCATATTTCACGAAAAACTAGTTTACCCCCCGTGGAATAAATAAAACACTGAGCACTCTGGCAGCTGGCATAAAACTTAATAATTATAAGTGTTGTTTTTTTTGTTTTTCGGTTGAAAATTCTCAACTGTTTCATTCGACTCCGGCTAGAACTTAACCGGATATACGTATGTATGGGGGTTGGGTTAGGGTAACCACTCACTAGACGGAGTATTATGTCATAAGGCCGAAACACGTTTTGCAGATAACAATAAAAGTGAAACCAAAAAGTGAAATTCACTCGCACAGAATCGTTTAATGATAATAATGATCGATTGAGCATTTATGGAAATTAATTTTGCTAAATGCAGCATAATACATTTGGTTAATTCAATTAACATGGCGTTCTAACTTTGCCCTGGGCAACGAATCCATTTGGAGCCACACGTTCTTTGTTGGCTCCTTTGTTCAATTATGCGTTATTTAAATCTCTTGTTTCACTAGCCAGCAATTTACGGCCAAAAATACACTACATATTTTCACAGACATTAAAAGCTACTTGTTCGGGCCTACGACGAGCAATTAATGTCGCCTCAAGTGCGTTGTGCAGAAAATCAATTAAACCATTCAGAAAAACATACAAAAGATGAATGTTTCTTCGCTGGCGGAAGTAAAAGTTCGGCCAAAAACCAAACTGCAAGAGAATCGAGCCATTTTTGACAACGGTTTGGGCGGGTTAAAGCGCCATTAACATTGGATTTGCCATATAGCCGCAGATTCGCCGATTTCTGCGTACTCGAGTTTCATTAATCTTCCGTTTTGTGTTTGCTGCCATTTTGCCATTTGTGGTTTCTGCTCGATTTGGCACAAGCCCCGCAAACAAATAAACAGAATCAAATGCCAAAATGCCACAGCACACCCGTTTTAATTTTCTGCAAATTAACCAAATAGGAAATCACACTAATTGCTTTGCATCCAATATATTTTCGTAGAGTTAAAGTTAATTTATTGGCTAGCACAGCATTTCGGAAATCATAAATTACAGCAATTTGGAAACAAAACATTAATTAATATGGGATAGAGTATAATAAAGGGTGCCTCCAAAAATGTAAATTTCGTTTTTACCCCATAAAATTTAAATCTAAAAAAAGTTTAAAAATATTTATAACTCAAAAACTTTTTTTATTCATTAATAATAAATATCTTTCAGTTAAATTAATACGTTTATTAAAAAAAACAGCCACCAAGTGTGTTCCTGTATTCTACTTGAACCGAATTAAATTTCCAAAATATTTCTTTTGTTTCAGCAAACTAGGTTCAGTATGCCCACGCCCACCTCTCATGGTTCCGATTTGTAGATCGATCATTGTATGTAGATTGCGCTTTTGATGGACAGTGCTTATGAGCATGTCTGCGCCTCAACTCAAGCGACCAGAAAAATAGGAGGCGTGGGCCTGCTTTACATATTGGCGTTTTATTTTTATTTAATTATGCCATTAAAGAGTAACAGATTAATAACAATTAAAGCGGCAACAGATGGGCATTCATCACAGCCGCAAAACGAGTTTAAGCCGATGATATGGTAGTGCCAAAGGAATAGTAAAAACAAATATAAAACTACACATACAGATTAAAGCCGAAAGCGAATCACTTTTATTTTCAGTTGCCAACTACACACGCCGCCGGATGGCATTAAAAGAATTAATTTCAACCGAACCGATCCCAAGATGATGATGATGATGTTGAGGCTGGGACCGGGATCCGTAGAAATCAAGAGTTGGGGCTAGTTCAGCATTTCGGTTTCTTTCTGCGGGCGGGCCAACTAACTTTATATATGAACTATAAAGATTGATATCACGACCCGATGTTAGATACGTCCGATTCTCCCCTTGACGCAAGCCGAATTGTGAATAAATTCCGAAAACAGGTTACAACAGAACCCAGCCAAATTATTTTCGGCTGCTGGATGTCATAAAATACAACATTTTGTCTCCGATCATAAGACGGTTTGTATTGTATCAGATGTCTCAACGATGATTATTCAAGGACAGCCGCAGCATTTGCATACTCATATGGCGGCTTAGTCGGACTTACACCTTATATATGTGTAGTTAGTCAGGCTTAGTATGCGTTATAGATCAGATTTAGCTACCAGTATGCAGATTGGGCTAAGAATATGCTGCTGATCGCGTGATACTAGTTTAAGAAAGAGAATCGGGAATGAGTGTTGGAGAAAGATATCTGAACAGGGGAAAATATTTTAAAATAGAGTAAACCATAGTTAACCATACTAAACCATAGCAATGTGGTAACGCTTCCTTGTACCTTGTTCCATACTTTTGCAGGAATAAAATATACCCTTGTAGGTACTCTAAACGGGTATAAAAAATACGCTTTATAAAATTTTGTCAGAATTCTGATTCATATTGGCCTATCTACGAAGTCAATGAGTTTACCGTAGATACAGATGTCACGCTTTTAATTAAGTGTAACGACAATCTAATATATACATATATTTCATGTCGAATTGATATGTAATACAAAAAATATTATTGAACTTTATTTTATCTGTAAAGTATGATACGTCTTTGTGATAAGATATGGGGTTGTAAATATTAATATATATTATTTCCTTGCAAATAGCTACAAACCAGACATAAAGAAAAATTCCAGAAAATTGTATCTTGGCAATGTTACATACCAGTTACTAGTAAAGGGGTTTCCTAGTTGAAAAAAATTTAAAAGGAAGAAGAAAGTTTTGACCCTATAAACTATATAAATTCTTGATCAGAATAATTGTATCTTGGCAATGTCTGGCTGTCCCTCCGCCCCCCTGTTCTTTTTTCCGTCTGTCTCCCCCCCTCTCTCTCTCTTTAAAAAAAAAAAAAAAAAAAAAAATAAAAAAAAAAAAAAAAAAATAAAAAATAAAATTTTTAAATTTTAAAAAAAAAAAAAAAAAATAAAAAAAAAATAAAAAACCCCAAACCAACAAAAAAAAAAAAAAAAAAAAAAAAAAAAAAAAAAAATTTTAAAAAAAAAAAAAAAAAAAAAATTTTTTTTTTTAAAAAAAAAAAAAAAAAAAAAAAAAAAAAAAAAAAAAAAAAAAAAAAAAAAAAAAAAAAAAAAATTATGTTTTAATTTATGAAGACGAATTGAAAGGAAGTTATCTTTGACGAATGTCAAACGTCATATAACCTAGGGGTATATATATGGAGGTATTGTTGAAAATATTGTTTAGTCTTTGTAAACCTCTGCGTACGATGTTATTGGGAATACTATTTTCACTGTTTATTTTAAAAACTTTTGCCATCCAAGATGGAAGAGACGTGTGTACTCTTTCCTCGATATGCAACAATGTTGAATCGATAGATTCGCAGGTGTATCCTCTACGGTATGTATTTAACGAAAAAATCTGATTACCGTTTTCAAAATCGTTTGGAACTGTCAGTGAGGAACAAGAGCGCCAAGCAAATCTTTTGGAAGACTTGGATAGAAAACTGGACACGCTTCTTAATAATGTCGATCCCTTGCCCGCAAACTGTTATGAGGCATTGAGGAGAGGACAGAATCGTCGAATTAGCACAATCCATGTGCCTGAGCACAGTGAAACCCCCTTTCAAGTGGCCTGCGATCAGTTCAGCATGGGAGGTGGTTGGACAGTACTTTTGCGACGAAGTGATGGAAGCGAGAACTTTTATCGAGAATGGAAGGACTACAAGGAAGGTTTCGGCCAACTGAGTAATGAGCTCTTCCTGGGTCTGGACAAACTGTACGCTATGACGTCTTCTCACCAACAAGAATTGCTGGTTCTTATGGAAACTCAGCAGGGGGAGCAGGCCTACGAGCTGTACGATAACTTTAAAATTGGCCCAGAGAGCAACAATTATACCTTGGAGTCCGCGGGAACACCTTCTGGGGACGCAGGCGATTCACTTTCTATACATGTGGGCATGATGTTTAGCACTAAAGATCGGAAAAACGACCTGGATCCCAATAGAAATTGTGCTGAAGCATTTACAGGCGCTTGGTGGTACTACAAATGCCACGATAGGTAGGTACTCCATTATATATAATCAAACATTAAAGTGTAAAAATTGTTTTAAAAGTCTTAATTATTAGGTCAAAATGAACATATTTTCAGGTTATAAATTTGGTTATTATTTAAAGAAGAGATAGTTTGTAATGATGAAATGTTCACCTATAATATTATAATAATAATATAATCTATCATTATTTACCTTTTCATAATTATCGATAATTATCGATCTAGAAAATTTGATTCCCTAACTTAAATAAACAATTTTGAAATTTACATTAATACCGAGTTTTTCTTTTCTAGCAATTTAGCTGGCCAATATGGCGATGATACATACGCAAAGGGTATATGCTGGAAAACATTTAATGGATATTACAACTCTTTGAAACGTGCTGTAATGATGATACGTCCAAAAGTGTTTTCATATAAATGTTTTTAGTGTGGACTATCCTGAAACGAAGCCGGGTTCCATGCTGAAATAGTTGGAGGAAGTGAAATATAATATTCACATTTGTATGTTAGCCTCGGAAAATTTAAATTTGGAATTACCAAAACAAAATGTTTTTAATTCAAAATGTTTTCTTACGAATAAGCAAATTATTACATATCAACTGTCAAAGGCAAATACCGATATTTATGAAAGCGAGTAGTAGTTACTGTTTACCGATTCCGATCACCCCACCCAAGTCTGTCCTAACACCACCCCCAGTGTGCAAATAGATCGCCGCTCGATAAGCATGGCGACAAGGTCATCTCTTGAGCAGCAATACCCGTATCATTCCGATGTGAGCTAATGCATAATTACCGCAATTAAGTTGTCGTCCAAGCAATAGACGCTGAGATCAACTCAACTTCAAGTCGCTTTAAATAAACTAATTAATGTTCTAAGATTAAGGCGGGAGATTGTGCTAATTGCAGTTTCAACGCGTGTCGCGATTGCCATCGAAATCGGGGGAGTGAGGCGAGTATACCTATAGTATATTCCAACCTATCTTCCAGTTCGACTCGGATGATTTATGTCGGACATTGGCATAACCATTAGAGTGCATCCCCACGAAGGAGAGCGTGGGCGCCTGCCTATGATATATGCATACTCGTAGCCCATATGTGGGGGGCTTCTGATTAATGGGCCCACTTGGAGGCCAGAAAGCGAAAACGATAAGGATGGCTACTTGCTACTGGCTACTGGCGAATAAATTTACGAGAATGCCAGGGCAAATACACAAACAGCGTGTAAATCAATTATTCATGCCTCAGCAGGCAAATGGCATAAAAACGTCATACAATTTGTGGCAATTACAAGTAGCAGGCGATAAATATGCAGCGTCAACGGGGCCAGGAACTCTGGCGTTAGCCTGATCCCGAACCCTTTGGTCCGAGAATTATGATTGGGAATTCCCCGCCCTGCCCCCCTCTCAAATCGCAGCTCTAAAAATAGTTGAGTGAGTGATTGTGGCGCGTTATCGCCGGTGCTTTCTGCCACTCGAGTTAGGTTATTCCATTAAGTTTGACTTATTTATAGGCAGGTGATTTATTAAGCTAAATAAAAACTGAATCTAAGTTTTTCATTCAGAGAATATTATGGGTTTAAGTTCTGACACGAAATCAGATAGGAATGCTAAAGCTTCTGTAATAAAGTAAGGCGTCATACTTAACAATTTTACCTAATTATTAATTTAAGTGATGATCAAAAATATTTACTTTTTTATATAAACTGCTCATTACTTTTATATTTAAGTAAAATATTGCTTAATTTGCAGCGGATAAAACTACAATTTATTTTATGGCCTGAGAAATTTAATTTAATTTACAAGTGTCTCTGGCTGGATCCGCACATCGAGTTCGCTCTTAATTAAATGCCCCCATCTCTGGCAACATTCTATAGAACATTTGCCTTAATTGCATATTTAAAGCTGACATTTATTATAATTAAACTTACATCGCCTATTGCAAACGGCATTCTCCGCTGACTGGTTGTCTGAGTCTCTTGGCTTTAGCTTTCGGTTTCAGTTGCTTGTGCTAATTTCGCCTAGCCACTTGATTAATAAGCTGCCATAACGCGGCTATCACAGAACAGCAGCCGCGAAGCCGAGACCATCCATCTTCCGGACAAAGAAGCCCGTCTTGCGATGGGGGAACCCATCCTTCGAGCGAGGTGCTGAAAACGAAATTCATTTGCTACAACATGGCCTTGAGCCATGAATTATGTGCGCAATTACTCTTCGGAATTGTCGTGCCGGAGCTCCAAGAACTGGAGTGTTCTCCTTGTGGCTTAGGTTCTGGTTTTAGTTCTTGTGCTGCACTTCTCGGCTCCATTTCTAATGGCTGGCCAACAAAAGTGCAAGTTGCCAGTTGCGATTAGGGAATTGTGCCACTTGCCGGCTTCCTTCTAATGGCGCCTCCGACTCTCGACTTCGACTCTTGCCTCCAGTTGGGTCTGGCAGTTAATTACACCTTGTTGGCCGTGTTGCAAGTCAGCGTGTTGCCGATTCCCTGGGCGATATAGTCACAGATGCAGTTTGTACCTGCACCTCGGCACGTTGCAACCGTGTGAAATGAATGGCGCATGTTTCTGATATCATCGAACAAGCCAGCTAGCAGACTCCACATCTCTCCCCCGATCCGAGGCCCTGCGATAGCCATCGTATTTCAGCATTTTGTTCGTTGACATGTGAAAAGTCTTCTTCTGAGTCACCGACGTAAAAAAATCTGCTCGCCCCGGGCAAGGCCGTTGAAAAATCAAATTTGTTATATTCAAAACCAGACGATTTAGGCATTTATGGGAACATTTTTACAATTTCAAAGTATTGTTTCCCGTAAAGTTAATTATGTTAAGTGTAAATTTATTTTGATTTGAATTCTTAAATAATTTCATCCTTTTTATTAAACGCATAACTTATTATCTTAATTTTCTTATATTAGAATAAAATAAAAAATATTTAATGTTAATTATGAAATACTTTGATTTTTATTATTTATTTATTTTATTAAACGCATAAAATAAACCTCAATCTTAGTATTATTTCGTTCTATTAGTTTTATGTTAATTTTGAATTATTTATATTAGTACTTTTTATTATTAATTTTTTTATTTTATTAAACACATAACTTATTATCTTAATCTTAGTATTATTTTGTTATTTTATTTTAACTTTATTTTAAAACAATTAATACCAATAAAACATTTGTATGTATATATATTTTCGTTAAGTTTATAAAATTAGTATTTTCGGGAAACCTTTGTTTAAATAATAGAAACTTCAGTTATGGACGTTCTCATGTATTTTAAAGCAATTACCGCTATGGCAATTAGCATAAAATTGGCCACACTCAGGGCAGCTATTTTCGGTCACTTTCAGATTTGGACCGCGTCATCGCCAGCAAGTTCTTAACATAATTGTTAACGCCTCAAACGGATTGAGTGCCAAATTATGACCGAAAATTGCCTTACATCAAGTGGCCAAATGGGTTTGTTGAACAGTTTCCCAGGGCTCAAGGCTGCGTATGCGGAAATTGCCAGCGGTTCAATTAACACACCCAGAGCGAAACCTTTTCCCACTGTTTTGATTTTGATTTCGAGTTCGTGTTTCGGTTTTTGGTTTTTCTGTTTTTTCTTTCGGGTATTGAATCCGATTGGTTTCTGCATGCCCGAGTGTTCGCCGGGCGTTAAAAAGCTCTTAAACTGCACAGCGTCTCCTGCATGCCAAAAAGAGTCACAATCTTGTGAAATTACAGTCTGAAGGTTGCAGCAGCGACCTTAACTTTTGGTTTCTTCGAGTCGTTGACACCTGCTTTTTGTATCAGGTTAATGAATTTGCTATAATTCGGGTTACGTCACAGCCGCCTCGCTGCTGAATCATAGTTCCGTTCTGCGAAGGACTTTCCCTGATCGATTGGCATTGATCGAGCAAAGGGCGGCCACCATGACGTATGCTTAATCCAGTCAAGGGGCAGAACCATTCGCTTATCAATCATACGCCACGTTGAGCGCCGTCAGCCCACACTATTCGAGCCAAGTCACTTGAGAGGCGAGATCAAGAATTTGCCATTATTTTTAGCCAGCTCTTTTTCTTTGTGTGTCAGCACGAATTAACGCTGGCGATTTAAATCGCACCAAGAAGCCAAAACAAACAACAGCGATGCGGAAATTGTTTGTACAACATGGCTAAAACAAAGGCGCCCAAACAATTCATTATTATTATTTTTAATATTATTGTTATTTCAGCGCGATGAGCAGCCAAATAATTGTGCATAAAACACTGTTTAAAATCAGAATTTAAAAGCCAAATCCCTGCTTATCCAACCTTGATTTCAATTAGCAAATTTGGAGTGGCTGCAAATTTCTCAATTTCTTGCCAAAAAAAACAAACGTACATATGTATTTGCCTAGCCATTTTCTCCCAAGCAACGTTTTTTTTCTACTTTTGTTTTATTTATTTTCCGTTTTTAATGTAGCAAGGTCGTTCGTTGGTCCGCTACGCCAAAAGCAATTTGTAATGATTATTAAAACAACGACCTGCTTGGCATGCTCCAAACAGCCAAACAGCCGAAGCCTTCCCCTTCACCCGGCCCATAGCACCCATTGTTTACTGTACCTGTTGCCATTTGCCGTTTGGCGTTGGCTTTTAATTGAAATAGCAAAAAACTGAAAAAAAACAGTAACAAGGCAGTGGCTAAAAATTATATTTGGATTACAACATGGTCAGCCGAGCTGCGAATATGTTGTACATTGTATATGAAATTCTTGGGCAATTATTACCGCACAACGCTGCCTTTCGATACGTATTCAGTCGGTGATTGAATAGCCGTGAACATTGTGATTATGACAGCCGGACACTCGAGGAGTTCTATTTAAAGCACCCAGATCTCTGGGCATTCCATCTGTGTTAGCTCAGCGTCAATTTGGCATTTGCCAGCCCCCGATAATTGACTTGTGAAAGGAAATCCATCACAGCTCTGGGATGGAACCATAGCCATATAACCATTCTATGCTAAGTGACCGCCACACCCTCCGCCATGATTCACTAGACCACATAAATTGCATTTAATGCTGGCTAACCAAATAAGCCAACTGCCATAAACGAACGAATCTCCGTCTGAATTATGTGGCCGGTTGGGTTAATCAAAGAAACAAAAAACCAGAGCCAAATAGAGAAGCCTGCCGAACGAGGGAATTACCCAGGGGAACTGAGGCACGGACACATCCGCAACGGGAGCGGCGAGCCAAACAAATCAAAAGTAATTCACACGCTCAACATGTAAAAATAAATAAAAGAATATAAAAATGTTGATTTGTAAGCACTGCAAAAGAAGCTTGTATAAGAACACTTTAAGAACATTAAACTTTAATTTAGTTAGAATAAAACTTTCTGGTTTTGAAAATACAAAATCTTTTAAAAAGCAATTCCTTAAAACTTGTAGAATTATTAGTTTTTAAATAATATTAAACATTGTAAAATTAAATTAAAGCCTCCTCCTTTACTTGTTTTTATTTCACACAAAATCTGTAATAGAATGTCAACTTTAAAAAATTCATATTTTTTTGTTATTCGCAAAGTAATTTAATTCTGATTTTCATAAACAATAAACAAAATTTACGATTCATAATTGTTCAAAGTGTTTCTTTTTTTGTGTCTTTATTTTTTTCTACTGTCACAAAGAACAAATATTTTACTTTCACCTTGATATTAGAAACATGGCATTTAAAATTTGTAGGTATTCTTGATTTTTGTATAAAGAGAGTTAAAAACAAGTTATTTAAAATGAACAATCGTTAATAAATTCAGATCTCGTTTTGGGAAGAAGCTTTTAAAGACTCCAAATCATCTTTCTTGAAGAAGCCTCTTAGAGATTCCTGGAGAATCTCAGTCGACCTTCTTCTTTGGCAGTCGGCG